TTCAGGTTCAGGCTTCTAGAAGAGGTCGGTGCCAAACGAGAGCACACGCGCTCGACATTGTATTCTTCCGTGAAGACGAGGTTTTGGTCGTGCTTCAGTGGCACAACATCACCGAGTGCCTTTTCACACGAGTAAGTTGGAAGGAAGATCGTGGTTTGGCCAACCTTTGGCAGCGTAATCGGGGCTGAAATCATCTTGCCCTGCTTGACCATGTTCTCAATGACATTCTGCACCTCCTGCTTGTTGAAATTGAACACGAACTTGGATTTGGCAGTCTTCAACTGGTTCAGTGTGAACCAGTCTTTGCGCTCCTCGCACAGCCACTGACGGATCTGTTGAACAGCCTGCTTTTCTTCATCTCGGTGAGCGGCGATCATAGCCTGAGCTTGAGAGACGTCTTGGTTACTTCTGCCCGTCTCGCCTGGAGGCTCTTTTGACATGAGAGATTCCAGAGTTTCCTGCACCGGATCGGCTGTTGCCGTTTCATCCGGAGTCAGACCACAACTGCGCCGCACGGTCGCCAGAGTCAAACCACCGTCACCGCCACGAACAACATACTTTTCCAGGACATCACGACATTGGAAAGCGGTGCGACTTCGTGCGTAGTTCCACAAGAACGCAGTGTCACCAAACAGGCAGGCCCGTCCCTTAAGAAATCCTTTAAGGTGGGATCCCGTGGGAAAATCCCACGCGTTGCAACCAATTCCTGCTTGCCGGCTATGCGGACCTCATCCACGAAGACGCTTTTCTACTTGCATACTGCCGTCCGCCGAAAAATGGAGTTCAGGGTCTCTTCTGTGACTCCTGCGAACCTGCCCAGTAGAGAGGAGCTCTAAGTTACAGTCGAACATCAACGAAACATCACAGGCGTGGTTAACTCAATCTGCAACTGAGCGACCTGGGAGCAGTGTTCAGCTCGAATCTTTTCCGTCCCCGTCGTTCCACCAGTGCCGTGTGTATGGCGTACGGCAGGCGTTCGGGGACTTTGTCTGCGGAGATGTGTTTATATATATATGTATATATATATCCTCCCGCATGGGACGTCGCGAGCCCTGTACACTTTCTTGCCCAGTCACCGCAATTTTGCCGACAAGGTTAGCTGCCTGCTTGCGCATCTCCTGACATAGCACACTTCAGTTGTCGACTGTGGCTACTAACTTACCCACTTCTGTTTAACAAGGCCGACGTATTCCACTGCATACACCTGCATGCCCGCCTCATCCACAAAGTAAATGTTCATATCCAGACAAGTGTGATACTCACCCAGAATGGCTTCGATGTGGGCCGTCTGTAGACTTTGACCCACCCCGCCAGAGCCAATACCCCAGAAAGCTCGATCGACATTTTCTCCGCGCAGGGCCAAAGTGAGTGAAGCCATAAAAACCTCAAAGGCCTCGAGGTTGCCCCAGTATGTGGTTCGCCAGAAGAGATCAAGCCTCTCCCTGACTTCATCTGCAACAGGATCCAGCATTCGGTGAGGCAAGTAAACGTAGATGTTATTTGCGGGTTTCCTCGCAACTGCTGTGAGGCCCGTCGGCACGAAAAGGAAGCAGGCATCCATCGTGCAGAAGCCACCGGACGGCTAAATGTCTAGAGAACACCATGCGATGTAGTACTTGATCAGACAATCATTCAACAGTGAACTCTGCCTAAGTGGATTCATGCGTATCAGCCTCATGTATGATGCACAGGCATGATTCGATGTCGTTCACTGCAGCTAAGTGACAGCTTCACGTATAGTTTGCCGATGGTGTTGGCCATGGCGAGCGTCCAGTGCATGCTGCCGTTCGCTCGCTCTTCTTTATCATCCTCTTCTCCACGACTGCCGGCCTTGTTCTTGACCGGCAGGCGGCATATCGCTGCCTCTTCACAAGCCGCAAAAAGAATGTCAGGCCTGTTCGAATGCCTCTCCAACAACTCCCGCGCGGCTTCCAGTATCCCGTCATTGTCCCTCAAGACATTATGACCAAACAAAGCATAGAGGCCTTCGAGCTGAAGAAGAAATTTTTTGCATCTGGCCAGAGTGCCTTCTGGAATGACGCCCTTGTGTACGTTCCAGTGTCCATGCTCTGAGTAGAACAAGCATTGGCCGTTATGAGCACGGACATGGCGACCAGAGCATTCTATCAACTCCAGAAACATGACTTCCTCTCGCCTGCTAATGTCTAACAGTCGCAGCCGGTGGATGGCAAGTGCTCCCTGGACAAGAAACCGAAAACTCGTCGACCATGCTGCGCTTGCCTCATGGTCGGCGACAACTCTTTGGATGTTAGCGACTTCCTGCAGTATACTCCCTTCGGAGGTGTCCATATCATGTAGACGACCGGGAATCGACCCCATGTCGAAGTCGGTCTGCATATACTGCGTCATGGTCGCGCTCATGTCTGAGAAGTCTGTAGAGCTTTATGTCGCTTCGGCACCGGCTCTTCCCCTTCAAGTGGTTCCTCCAGTTGCTGTTCCAGCATTTGCGAGAAAGAATCTCCATCATCTTGGCTTCCGCCACGAAGATCATTCACCGAGGTCAGGAACTCGCACATCTGAGTGCGTGCATGAAGGCCATGTAGGTGCATGCTCCTCACTGCTGGGTCAACCAACCCATGCATCCGATTCCACTCGGTAGACATCATCGACTCCACGACAGGATCATCCCGTAGCTGCTGCAAGTCGTCAGCATGCATCTGTGGAAGACGAAGGCCTTCCTTGCTTGCCTTCCAGCACGCAGATCAGACAGCATGGTCAAGTCTGAACTCCCCTGACTTCCTGTCAGACGTATGCGTGACTGCAGGTCGTTTCGTCGCCATGTCATGAATTCAGCCATGCAGTCCGATAGAAGAGGAACGGGAATGACCAACGCCGAGAAGCCATTGTCGGGATGGAGACAGACGATTCGTAAGTCCGTCACAACAACGTTGTCGTAATTTCGAAGGATCCATGCGTACATGTTTAGCTGGACTCTGTAGTGCCAAAGCACTGAGTCCGGAATGTCTTGAAGAGGATATTGAAGAAAGCGACCAAAACTACTATCCTTCGATGCCAACTGCTTCGTCCTCTTCCAATCCAGTAGACAGATGTCTGTGCCACGTTGCGCGACCGCATCAATGGATCCGGCGAGGTCTTCTGCGTCTGCGTAGACTGTCCACTCTGTCCTCATAAAGATCCACCCCTCTGCATGGAAGTCTTGCAGAAATTTGAAGAACATGCAAACCTCTGGCGAATCTGATGGGACCTGTCCACCGTTGAGCAGACATTCACACTTCGCATGCATCCACGTTCCTGCAGCAGCGGCAACTCGCCGATTGTATTCCCATTGCTGCAGTATTTCAGTATCAGTCAGAGTTAGCTCTGTCGCCAACTGCTCCAACATCTGCGAGAATGATGGCCCGTCCTCTTGACTCCCACCACGCAAATCTCGAGCATCTGCAGAAAGATGTATTTGGGAATGTCTATCATCCCTTCTCCAGCTCATCAAC